GCTGTTGGCAAAAGAAAAAAGTGATTTTATTTTTTTGTGTTTGGCACCCTGTATACCCCAAGGGCTCCTCTCTTGGAGGCCCAGACACCACCTGTTTATGGTGGAGTGTGATCAGGGGTGAGTCTGTGGTTATGCTAGCTGCCTTCTTTTTTTTATTTTTTTTTCCTTTCTTAAAATTTTGTCAGAGGGCACAGGTCTCCCACCCACTATGGGAAATGGTCACACTGCAATCTCTTTTCCTCCATTTCGCTCATAGGGATGTTTTTTTTATAAGCTGCTGGGTCCAGGACTCAACTGAGCTGTTGGCTATGTGGAACCCAGCTGCCAGAATGACCATGCCACTGGCTGGTCCATCATTGTGTTTTCACTTGGGGACATTCAGGCTGTACTATGAACCTGATATTCCCCTTCTGAAGATTTCTGACGACATTTCTGAGGTCAAGAATGAATAAAAGTGAATGGGACTTAGGACTCTAAAACTCATCAGGACACAAAACTTGAACGTCAGAGCGGCAGACTGTGGTACTTGGCACTCATCTTCTTTAGATGGGGGGAGTTTCAGCTTTTGCATTTGAGCTAGGCGTGGAGGATGAAACAGTCCACCACTCATCTGAGATACAGTGGATTGAATGGTGTTTTGGAATTTCTATACTTTATTCCAGAGGTGCCTAACATGAAACTTTAGGACCTGATGCCACTTCTGACTGCCCATATTGAGGTTTGTCGCTTGGTAAGAGCTCCTAGGATAGTGTTCCGAGAAGTCTGATATTAAATACTCACCACAAGGACATTGCTTAAGTCGAACGCTATCCTGTGTTCATTCTCTTTTCACGGACTTTTTTCCTTCATCGTGTTTGTCTTTCCTTGTTCATCTTTTAGTCCTAAATAGCTTCAGTTGGGGTTCCTAACTTGAGCATATAAAGGTGTGTAGCTTAACTAAGTAAAAGTAACAAATTAAAATAAGGCCTAAAAATAGTGATTTATTTTAAAAATGTGACTATTGCCAGAAGTCTAAGACTGAAGTGGCCATTTTTTTCTGTGTATGAATTTAAAATGATGTTAAGAATTACTTCTGTTGGAGCATAAACATAATGGCAGGTTTTGCTTGACTAGGAATTTGCTAGAAGCAAAGCACTGTTCTTGATGAGCCGGGGTCAGTTGGAGTAATACAACCCTTGTTTTTCATCAACGCTAGATCTCTGCCAGTCTTTCTAAACCTTTGTACACTGAGAGGTATTTCTTTATTGTGGTGAGTAGACCTCATGAGACAAAATACGGTATGCTTGAAAGAGAAAATAAAACAAAAACTTCTGTTATACCTCTTGCATTGTCTCTCTCTGAGTTTTATAATCTTACGTGACATTTGGGTGTGACTAATAATGACAGTGAAGTGACAGTAGTTCTCCTACATTTGGAAGAATGAAGTTAGGAGGAAAAATGCTTTTTAGAATATTGAGAAGTGGCCGAGTGGTTTTGCTGGTGAACTTGGGAGGAAAGGCGTGCATTGATATAGATCATAAGGCTGGAAAATGATTTGTTGTCTAGATTATGGGCTAGCCTGTTTATTTTTTATTGTACTTCAAGTCCAATTTTTCTATACCTGACATTTACTGCAGGGAATCAATCTGATGTTCTGGGATCTTTCGAGGGGCTTTGTGTGGGAAGTGTGTTTGGGTGTTTTCAGTCTGCGACGAGGCAGATTAAACTTGTGTGTCATGCAGACTCACTGAAGCTGTGTTAGTATGGCTGAGATAAATTTGCCTTGAGTCCTGTCTATTTACGTATAATTTCCTGAGGAATTATATGTGTGAAAGCAACTATGACTTCAAGCCCTTGCACACATGTGGGGTCCCTGAGAACCTGGAACAAATCAGGGTGACTAACTTCTCCCAGTTTAAGCAATGCAAAGCCAACTTCTGGGGAAAGCCCTCAGTCCTGGGCAAACAAGAGGATTTGGTTGAGACAGTCCCATTTTAAAACTTGAAGTCTAGGGTCCCAGGAATTGCTTCAGTCCTAGGCATTCTGGGGTGGTTGATGCCCCTCATGCAAATTAAGGCCCACATACTTCTATTCAAATATCTAAAAATTATAGATTAAGTTAATGAATTGTGAAATGAAATAGATTTCTATCCTCTTACCTTCCAGGTAATGTGCTCATAATGACCTGGAAGGTTGAGACTGAATTCAGAATTCTCAGACTCTTGGAGTTCCAGCAGGTATAAGGGGGTTAAAAAAAAGCAGGAATAAGGGGGTTCGGGGAACACTGGCTTCTGAGCCACAACCCCAGCTGAACAATGAAAGGCTTCACAAGTGTGCATGTGGGCAGCCTAGACAGTCTGTCTTAGCTCTGTCCTCACTTTCTCTGTTCTGGGACTTAGGTCAGTACATCCTGGTGGCGTGGCTACCCTTGGGTCGTCAGATAGAGAGGAAAAGCTGACCAAGTCTAGGAAGTGGGTTTGGGGCATTTGGGGAAGGAAGTCTGGGTCCCGGACACCTGGAGCAAGATCTGGAAGTGAGGCCTGGGCTCTGGTGGGCATGTATTTCTGCACATTCCGACTGCGTGCTGGGAAGGATGGCAGGAAGAAGGCAGAGTGAGATCCAACATACCATGGTCTCCCCAGTCTGTGGTTTCATGGTCCATGAGTTTCAGATACCCAAGGTCAACCACAGTCTGAAAATAGATAAGGACAGAATAATAAGATAGTGAGAGGAAGAGAGGGAGCACATTCACAGAAGTCTTATTACAGTATATTGTTATGATGTTTTTATGATTAGTTACTGTCATGAATCTCTTATTGTGCCTAATGTATAAATAAACTTTATCATAGTTGTGCTTGGAAAGGGAAAAACAGTGTATGTAGACTTTACATGATACATGCTTTCAGGCAAACTCTACAAATTGTGGAATGTCTTCCCCACAGATAAAGGAGACTACTGCAATGGATTACTAAGTAGTTCAAAGAATGTCATGTTCTCTTGGGGTTATAGAACATTTTCTTCAGTATGGGTGGTATATCTCCATGGTGAGGAGGACACTTATTGGTCCATGGCCTTTACAAAGGGGAAGGGCTTCAGAGGATGGGTGTGTGTCTTGGAGATAACATCTGGAGGGCTGCCCCTGGGATTTCCTGCTGGTTTGTTCACTGAATTACCACTCGGACAGCAGGGTTGTCTTTAGGGTGTGTTATCAGCTACGAATAATTCTGGGCAATACATAATTCACATGTTACAACTCAAAACTCCTTTGAAATGGTGTTTGAGATTCTAAAACACTTCAAAATACCATTGAAATATAACAGAATCAGGGACCAGCAGTTGGCGTAATGGTTATGTCACTGGACTCCCATGTAGTCGACTGTGGTTCAAGTTCCAGACCTGATGGCTTAAACTCACCCCAGGCATGTGTATGTGCGTGCCCAAGATCCAGAGAGAAGGATGAAGGAGAAAAGATTGTGGCATGGCCATCCACGCCCCCCTAGGGGGGGGTGATTTCTTGCTTTCTGTCTCTCTGTCTCTCTCTTTCTGGCGAGTACATGCTCCCTATAGCAAAAACCTCTCAAACAAACAACAAAAACAAACAAAAAGGAAGAAAGAGAAAGAAAGAGAGAGAAAGAAAAGAAATATACCAGAATCAATGATTTGCATGAATTGATGCAGAGCCATGAATGCGGGTGCACAGGCTGCACACTGCGCGATTTCAGGAGGCGCCGTTCACAAGGACTACAGTGGAAAAGGTGCCCGTCACAGTTGTGCGAAGCACGGACTACACAGCAGCATGCAGCCTTTCTCAAGATGCATAGCCATCCATTTCATTTTGTCACGGCTAAAATAGATATTCTTCTGGTTGAAAAGTGTTAACATTCTAATTTGAACATTGGGGCACGTTTATTTGGTTCTTCATTTAGGCTAACCTTAATTATTCGCTGGGGAATGCATGAACAGAAATTGGCTCATTTCACTTTACGCTAATGGCGTTTTCTGCAAAGGGTTCAGAAGTGAAATGAAGACTGAATAAGCTTTATGTTTTACCAGTTTTACTGTTTCACATGGCGAGTGAGGGCTAAACGCCTAGGAAGTAGCTTTGGGAATTCAGTTTACAATCATTTAAATGTTACAACAAAATTCAATTTTATTTCCAAGTAGACTTCCATAGAAAGACCCTGTTAGCGCTGATGGAAAAATCAGTAACAAATGTTTTTGTCACCAGTGCTTGCTGATGCTAACTTAAAAAAAAAATTTAATGTTTTTGGCAAGTCTTATGAAAATACCTTAAAGTAGAAGTCTGATCATCTCAGTGACTGTAGAGCCATTTAAAAAAAAATTAGGTTGGTATATTTTTGCATTTCTCCTTAACACATTTTTTTGTAACCCCTTATATGTAAATGATTTCAGTAGATTTAGTGCATCTTACTTTTCTGGTTGCATTAGGCTGAAAAATAAGTGTTTCTTTAGCTTCAGACTCCTCATGGAACGAGGTGATAAGCAAAACTGTGCTTTAGCTATCACTATGCAGGGGGGTTAATGATGCATTCACAAATGCAATTGGCTCTGCTACATATGGTAAGCCCCACATTATCAGACAGTAAAAAAAAAAAAAGTGTGGTATAAAAATGATCTGTCTCTGGAATCAAAAATACCAAAACTGTAGTTTAGATGGCCAGTTGTATAATAGGAACAATATAGAAAGGAGAAAAGACCATAATTCATCAATTGCTGGTATTTTTCCCAAAGGATTTGTGATTTATCGTTCTATTATTATTATTATTATTATTATTATTATTATTATTATTGGAAGGCAGGAAGTTGGGAAATTGGGGTGGGGAAACAAAGTTAATATGAAGTAAACCAAGAATTTCAGATTTTTCTTATTTCTCATATAGAATAGTCTATTCAATTATAAAAACTTGTGTATGTTTACCTTATTTTAGTTGGTATAGGTTAGTAAATTTTTTAACTGCAAAATGCATACTTACAAATCTTTGCTATGTTTTGCTTTTTAGGTGCAAACCCGAATTATCCTGATTTAATTTATGAAGGTAGCTATCAGGTTTTCTTTATATGTTTTTTTTTTTTCAAAATATTGATGTATTTTGAAATAAATCAACTAAAAGAAGACTCCTCTGCTCAGTTAAATATACACTTAAAGTATTGCATCGTTCAAAACACTGTTTCAAAAATCATTCAATATTGATAGCTGTTTTCCCTTGGTATTTACAGTGCCTGTAAATAGCATTTTATCTCTTATGTTCTGTTCTTGGAAGTAGTAAATCCATTCCACTGTAACATTTTGTTTCCATAATTGGGAACTAATTACCTGTTTAAAAGCCATGACTACCAAGAAAAGGGAGGTGTATCAGTTTCTGGCTATGACAGTAAACCCAATTCAAAATGATCTTACTTGTATAATGAGGAAGTCTGGCTTACAGACAGGAAGCTCAAAGGTGGAGCTTGCTTTAGGGTTGGTTAAACCAGCAGCTCAACCATGTCATCAGAGACCCAAGTTCTCTTCATGGCTACACTTTCCTGCCTGTTGTGCCAGCTTTGCTGAAGGCTGGCTCTCCCTCTGGTTATAAGATGATGTTGGCAGAAGAGTGCTGGCTGCCATTTACATTGACGAGAGAAAGGAAAAACGCTGCTGGTTGTGTCCCAGAGAAAAGCTTCCCCAGAGACCCCCACCGAGCCCTCTTTATGTCTATTCAAGGTCCAGTTGGGTCATGGTCCATTCTTACCATCATTACTGTTAAGAGGGATGGATTAACCTCTGACTATCTAGACCTGCCCCTGCAGTTTAGCCTCCTGGGAGGTGGGTAGGCTTATCTAAACAAAATTCAGTGTTTTCTTTCTTTCTTTTTTTTTTTTTTTTTCTTTTTCCCCCAGAAGGTGCATGTGCTCACCAGAGAGAGACAGAAAGAGGAAAAGAAGGAGAGGGAGAAAGCATCTCCCATTGGGGTATAATCAGGCTACCATTCTTTCTCCATTCTGCATCCTGCTGAGACTGAGCACACATGCACACATGCCTGGCCTGGCGTGTTTTTCAAGTTATAGGTTCTGGGACTCAAATTGTGAGGTCAGCCGTATGGGATCCAGCTCTCTCAACCTACAATGCAAAACTTGGTCCCCCAATGGGGTTATTTTAAGAATACCAATGAAAAGAAACTAAAAGGCCCACCATATTAACTTTTGATGAACTATCTCATCTTTGCTTTGTTATTTTAATCAAATTCCAAGAATGTTTTACTAAATATGAAAACCCATCTTTAACATATTTTCAAACCACCTTTGTGACCAGGAAACCACTTTGGCAAAATAGCAGGCTCTATTTCAAGATTCGGCTTGAATTTTAAAAATGATTCTAAGTTGAGTTGATTAAAATGTTAAACAAAGAGAACTTTAACAAATTCATAGAAAAATTTTAGTGCACAAATTTCTGAAACTCATGTAGTTTTTTCATAACTTAAATTTTCTATAAATTTTTTGAAAACTCACATTCATATTTTTATTTTATAAAAATTGTTCTTCAATTGTGTGTGTGTATGTGTGTGTGTGTATATATATATATACACACACACATATACACTTTTTTCTCTAAAGTGATTCTATGTGTGTTAATTACAGAGTATATATTTAACTTGAGCTATTTTTAACTGAGCAATTACATTGTCCTTACCTGATTATGTGTGTTAAGTCATATTTCTTCTAAGCTCTGGTTTGGCTGATTTTATGCATGTGATTTATTTTTATTAGGTTTAAAGGAATAATATCTCAAATTGTATCATAGAAAAATATGTTTAAACTGTGATTCTACAGTTTAAAATTAGGGTTGAACTTCTTTTCAGGAAGTTCAAGACTTAAAAAATATTGTCTTCTCATTGACTCCAAATTCTTTTTTTGGGTCTCTGGGCCAAAATGTTATGATATCTTGATATTCAACTATGGAAAATTTAATAATTTAAATTTGTGGGAGCACTGTCTATAATATGAAGAGGGAAAAATAAATAATTGATATCAGTTTGTGTTTGAAATTAGTAAGTTTTAAGACATTCAAAAGGAAAATAATAATGTGGCTTTTGGCATTAAGAATGAAACAACAAACAGCTGGAAAATAGTTGATTTTTCTATTCACATGCAAAAAAACGCTCTCCTAATAAAAATACAATTTAAGTTGGCTGCCCCAAGGCCAGCATGATAATTCTAGTTTACCTAGAATTGAATTAATTAGGTAAATTATTCAGAATGGAAATTGAAGGCATTGGTGCCTACTTAGTGTAAAAATACAAACATTAGCTACAATAAATTTACCAAGAATTTTTCTCTAACTTTTTGAATGTGATATTACTAACAAAACCTACAAAAAAAAAAAAAGCCAGTGATTTATTCCCATCCAGACCCATGTAGACTAAAATCGACCAAAAATTGACCCAGCAGATAGCAACTGTATTTGAAATTTGGTGAAATGACAACAAACCCTTAAATTCTAAGTATTTTGTTGATGCAGTTCCCCAACTATTAATAATTTGGAAAGTGACTTATTGGCAATTCAGAGCTCTTCAGATAAGCTTTCCTGGGGACCCAAGATCCACACTGATGCTGATTCCACATGCAATTTTGTGTGCCTGCCCTTCATGCAAATTAGGTGCACTCATGCACTGGGAATTGGTATAGCTTAGTCCATTCTAGGTTTGTGTCTGCTGTCTGACATCTTCTTACCAGGTGGCCTTCGACTAGCCATTTAACTTTCCTGAGCTGACATTCTTCAGCTGTAAAACTGGTTATTACTCTTGTCCTCTAATGGCCCTTCCAGGCCTATAAATCTATAACTCTTAGATGATCGATTCCCTTTTGTATTTGTTTCCAATATGCCATCAATTAAGAGATATATTTTCATGTGCAAATTATTGATAAAACCCCTAAATCGGGTTTAGAACTTGACCAAAAAAACAAGGATGTAATAATCTGGGTTGAACCACATTTTAGCAAGTGCATTCCCATCATGATGAATTTAACTCAGCGGCCAGCTCACGTTCCTCCACAGCCAGGCTGTCAGTGGTTTGGGATCTTTCTAATTTGTCTTGCTTTGTTCTGAATCTTACTGTGGTCACGTGTTTGTTGGAAGCCTAATGACAACTTTATGTTGTTTCTTTTCCCTCTTTCTCCACGCTAAGATTACGGGACTGCAGCGAATGACATCGGGGACACCACCAACAGAAGTAATGAAATCCCTTCCACAGATGTGGCTGACAAAACTGGTCGGGAACATCTCTCGGTGAGTGGGATAAATAGGTGTCTCTTGGATTGGTTCTAAGCATTTTGGAGGAATATAACTGTTTCAACACAAGATCATGTGTGTGTGTGTGTGTGCACAGGAGTGTGTGCATACTGTGTTATTTTCGGGTTTCATTATGTTACCATCCTCCTCCTCAGCCTCCTGACATGACATTTTTATGGCTCAGATGAAAATAGGGTGTCAAGGGTTGGAGGAATTAATGGAAATGTTGAAGGAAAGTAAAAAAGGCGCTGTGAAGCCTTTGCCTTCTTTGCTTCTTTTCTGCACCACTTTTAATTTTTAGGAGTTCCTATTTCAAATATCTCTTTTTTTTTTCAGGTTATCACTAGAATAAGAAACCAGCTTTTTCATTCAGGGGCTATAACTTCACACCTTTCTTTTTAAACGTTTAGGTAAAGAGTGAGTATTCAGAAAATGTAAGGATGCCAGTAGATTCTAAAAGAGACTGGTGAGGGAAGGATATGCCAGTGTGAATGAAAGTCAATTTTGTCATTGAGAAGCTTACACTTCAGTCATAGTCCCAAGACATAAAATACAAATCAGGGCAGAGCAATGTGATACAAGATGTTGAAATGGAGGGGCAGGTGTTCTGTTTCTTCCAGCTCAGAGCAGCCTTCATGGGACTAGTGGCATTTTGCATAGCCTATGCAGGATGGTTGGAATTTGGACAACACGGATGGAAGGGAGGGGCATTTAGGGCATGTGAGCAAAACCTTGCAGACTGGGAAATGCAGTGTAGGTGCTTCATTGGAGGGTAAGGTGTGTACATGTCAGCAGTCAGAGGCATGATTAGAAGCAGGTCTTGAAATGGTCTTGGTGTTTAGATTTATCATACAGTAAAGAGCAATTGGAATGGGGGGTACAGGATTCCAAGAATCTATGGCAGGATTGGCCTGTAAGTTGCCTTGGCCAAAACCCATCAGCATCCTCCATTCTTTTTACTTGTCATCCACACTCTGCCAGCATGTCCTGTGAGCTCTTTCTCTGTATAAATTCCTAATCCATCCATGTCTCTCCACCTCCACCACCACAGTGGCAGACTGACCCAGGAGCTGGCCAACTATACCCCACAGCAAAGTTCAGCTTACCACCTGTTGTGCAGTTTGCAAGCTGAAAATAATTTATTTATATTTTTAAAGGTTTTTTAAAAATCAAAGGAAGGATGATGCTTAGTGAGACATGAACATTTTATGAAATTCAAATTTTAGTTTCCCTAAATAAAGTTTTATTGGAACACACTCATGTCCATTCATTTACATATTATCTGTGACTTCTTTTGTGCTGCAATGGAGGGTGAGGTAGTATGGATGGCAAAGTTGAAAATATTTACTATCTGACCCCTCACAGAGAAAATTTGCCATATCTACTCTGCCCTGGGTGACTGCAACGGCCTTCCAACTGGCCTCCTTTTCCCACTTTTCTCACCTTCTGGCGTTTCTCTACTCAGCAGCCCCAGTGATCTTTTTAAAACATGTGTTTTTATTATAATTCTGAGTCTCCTCAAGGCAATTGCAATAAAACTTCTATTATAAAATCAAATGCCTCATGGTGGCTATGAGTCCCTACATGATCTTTTCCTTACTCCTCTTTCTGACATCCTGTCCCACACTCTTCTCACTGTCTACCATCTGTCTTGTTATTACTTTTAATTTCATATGTTCTTAAATTAATTTTTTTTTATCAGAGAGTTCATGTACTCAAGTCTAATTTTAATTTCATATGTTATTAAATTAATTTTTTTTATCAGAGAGTTCATGTACTCAAGTGCATCCATGTGAGAAAGTGAGAAAGTAACCCCAATAGGGGATGGTCACACCACAGTCCTCATGTGTGTGTGTGCCTAAAATCCAGAAAAGAGAAATGGAGGAGAAAGGATTGTGGTGTGACCATGGTGTTTCTCAAGACATCAGGTCCAGGACTCAAATCATGAAGTCAGTCACATGGGATCAAATCACCTTAATCACTACTCTATTGACTGACCCTAAAATTTTTTAAATCAAAGTTTATAATTATTTTCTATTATACAAACAAATAATGATATCTAGTAATGAATGAAATGGCAATTAATGCAATAAGTCTCAATCCTTATAAAGGTTCAAAATATATAAAGTCCTTAAGGGTAAATGTAATGATAACATAAGATTGAAATCTTGGCTTATTTCTTCAAAATTAGGATAATATAAGACATTTCATTATTTCAAAATTAAAATGATAGAGAAGCAAATCTGGGACCTTCTTTTTTCTAATTCCTATTTAAATTACTTAATTTAAAATAATATTTGATCTGTCTAGAGGTAATGGTTGAATATATTATAACAAAACTAATCCTTAATATTTATCTCTAATGATACATGGCATATAATAGGTGCCCCCCTCAAAAAAAAGATTGAAGGGCTGAATAAATTAATAAGGCTTATAGGATATTTGAGTTGGAGACATTATACTATTATAACTTAAAACTTTTTATTTATTATAATTTCTGATTTGCATATAATCATTGTATGTCTTTGTAGAATAAAATATGGCATTTAAAAGCAGGTATACAGTGTATAATAAATTGAGGATGTAACATACCACTTTCAACATTTGACATAATGTTCAGAACATTTGAAACCTGCACCACTGGTTACTGTGGAAGCATGCACGGAATTGTCTATGATGTTCCTTATTGTGAAATGCAGTTCTAAAGAAAAATGTTTTGATTAAAAATTAGGCAACATAAAGTCTCATAAATTAGTGAGGATGAATTTTTTTAAAAAGATAATCTTAACATAGCTAATAAAAGAAGAATTTGTATTTCCATGTAGAGGACTATGGGAGATAAGAGTGTATATTCGGAAAAGATTGTGGTATCATTGGTCCAATTAGAGATAGGTAAAATTGTACATAACAATAGCTCATTAGGAAGAGATAGAAAATGAAAAATTTTACTCATATGAATTCTTGTAAGATCATGGTATTGTACTGTGCATAAAGAAATAAGTCTTTAAAAAACAAAGCCAAAACAAGATTGGGAAGTGATGTTTAAAAGCAAAGATGTGGTAAAGTAAGTGATTTGGTGATTTCTAAGCTTTACAAAGTCCATGATATTCTCTTTCTTTAAATTAATTCCAAAGAAAGACTCAACTACTTGTAACATTTTGGACTTTTCCTCTGTTATCTAGTATTATATAATGAGTGATGGCTATAATAAATATATAAATTGAAACCTGTG